CCCCACACATATAGAAACAGTGATCCAGCTCTTACTTGGCATCTGGATTGTTTTTTTTCCATGTGGCAAATAACATAACATAAATATGTAAAATTCTAAGGCTATGGCTCATTTACAGCAGATTTATTCTGAAGACCTTGTAGACAGAGGCAGGACGTGTGGCGCGTTATTACAGCTAATATCACTGTGCCCGATGGCATTTTTTCCAGATGACTTCACCAGATTAAAGCTTAATAAATGCTTCTGAATTAAGCTACGCACCATGCTAATTCCTTAATCAGTCGTATTTTCTAAGGTGATACACAACGAATGTGTCTAAATGTATTAATAGCAAATTCCTTAATTTAGTAATAAATATGCACAAGAATATCCAATGCTATAGCTAATGACATTAAATCCAAGATGTGTTTTTTATGCTAATGTAGTAAACAGTAGAGAGCAGAGTGTAAACTCTGGTATAAAGTAAAAAGATGTGGATAACCTATAGCAGATTATTATGTTATTATTATGTGACTTTTTTTTACAGAACATTACAACTTAAAACTTTAAACTCTTTCTTCCCCTCTTGATGTGGGTGTGACAGTGTTTTGTATCGTACAATAGTAATATAATTCCAATAGCTTCAAAGAGAAATATCAGACCGACATACAAGAAGATATAAAGAAGCCTTTCATCTGACACACACTCAGAACAAAAGGACAAATGATAGCATTTTTTCTCGTCCATCACACCCTGAGAAGAGGTCAACCTGTATCAGTCCTTGAGAGATCAACCTGCATCGACACACACTGCTCTGATTACATATTTTCAGCAATATATCTTGCTATTCTTTATCAACCCGAAACGTGTAGTTCTACAGTACAGTATATACGACTTTCTATACATGCACACATATACACAGGCCTGAGGCGCTCAGCCCACTCTGATTTATGTAACAAGGCTATGATTGCCGCTTTCAGCCCTTATCAGTCATTCCCAGATGTGGTGGAAAATCCAAGCAGACACACACACACACACACACACACATACACACACACACACACAGAGAGTCCACTGTGCAGCTGAGAGAACATTTCATGTGAGAGCCATTAAACTCTGTTCAGCCAGAGGTAGTTTGATGCTGGCATGTTGCTAATGCGGTAATAAAGAAAAAGTGTTGTCTGTGCCCCTTGTCATAATTATGGAATGCTGAGACACTTGAATGTGCAAAACACAGAATATTTTTGTAAATGATAATTAGAATTTTTGTCTTGGCATCATTAACCCCTTTAACCCTGAGTAGTTTCTGAGTGTTTCTTGCTGGGATTTTTGCTCTTTGCTCCATATTGTTCCTTACACTGGGCTCATTTTCACTGCAAGTCTACTCCCCCTATGGACACAACATATCAAACATAGTGAGAACTGTCTTTTGTGCAGTGCAAAGTTATAATGCCATAAATAAATGCCGTAGATAGGCTATTTGACAAGGCCTACATTTTTTTTGCAGCCTCATCAGATTTTGTGTTTTTCACGCTACTCTGCAACTCTAGAAATAAATCTCACCATGATGAATGTATCTTCCAACAACTTAATAACAACATGCTCCTCTGTATACCATTTTTGAGCCGTGCTGCATTTATTTTATTGATCCAGTATGCTATATTTTGCTCTCAGTCTCCCTTGCCATCTCCTCTCTGCTCTGTAAAAACTGTGAGTCAGTCATGGCTTCTCAGTTGCTCTGAAGAGCAACAAGTTCTGCTGCAGATTTCCTTCTCTGTTTTTACAGTTTATGATTCTGATAAATGGTGTCATTTAGGAAGAAAAAAAAAGAAGAAAGAAAAGAAAAGAAAATGGGCCTTTCAAACTGGGTGGCATGGTAATGAAGTGGTTACAGCTAGAAGGTCCTGGTTTCAAATCTTTTTGTGTGGAGTTCTTCCAGTGCCTGCAAGGAATCTGACTGCAATTGGTCAATTGTTCACAGTTGTTCCCTATTTTTTTTAACTGGCTGATTTGCATCTGTTGCAGAGGCATTTGTCTGTAGAACCACATCTTTTTATTAAATACAACTACATCTGACCATTACGATTTAAAAAGAATAACATTTCACAGTTTAATTCATTGTGTGTTGCTCATGCAGGTCCAGCATTTTAAAGACCACACAGATTTTTTATTTTTTTTGGAAGTGGATGACACATAGTTACAGCTAATACAGATGTCCCCACTGTTTCCAATAGCATTTTAATAAAAAAATGAGAAGCTTGCTGGTGCCCTAAAAGAACCATACTAAACAATATTTGTTGTATTTCTACTTAAAGAACAGAATGCAGTAACTCAGGCTTTAACGTATAGTGTCCATAAACAATATTGTTTTTAAACTTCTCCTGTTCACCCTATTTTGTATACGTCATACTTCACTGGGATACTTCAGTAAATCTTAATCACCTGTGTCCTGTCTGTTATAGTAACTGTAGAATTAATGCAGAGGTCTAAAAACAGTGTAAAATGGATCGTTTTAACACATCCATGTTCTCATTGCTTTTTAGATCAAACAACTTCTACCTGGCTATGCTGCTTTTCATGCTGTTTCTCTGTATGCTGCCCACCATCTTTGCCATCGTGAGATACAGGCCGTCACAGCACTGTGGACCATTCAGGTAAACACATCGTATGGATGACATCAAAAGACTTTTGTTTAAAGGAACATTTTGATCAGCTATCAGGTCCAAATCTTTGTCATTTACAATGATGTGAATGTTAGATTAGAATGCTTTGGCCCCTTAAATGCTGCGACAGTGCTGGACCAACATGCCTGCAAAGAGTTTAAAAAATACATTTCACAACTTGTTTTTATTTCAAATTATATACAGAATTGTGACTTGCTGTTCAAGAACTACATCTGTGGGACTAGGCCGAGTTCCCTGGTTCTATCTTCCACCCACAAGCGGTGCAACTGGCATTCTAGAGTTTTCCTTTAAATGTGATGTGTCTTTATTTATGAGGACTGTGTGTGTTGTAAACACATATGAAGGTGGAACTACTACTTGCAGCCTTGTTTGTAAGTGTTAAAACATAAAAATGCTTACATGTGGGTTTCAGTGGTCAAGAGAAAATTTACGACATCATCTCCGAGACAGTGGCCAGTGACTTCCCACTGTGGTTCAGTAAAGTGATGAGTTACGTCACCAGCCCTGTTGTAGTGCTGCCAGCACTGCTGCTGCTGTTGTAAGACTGCACACATTACACACACACACATGGGATAAGCACACGTCAACGTACATACAGACATACACATCCTTAATTTCAAATCGTGCCTGTGTGTTTCAGTATGCTGATATACTATCTCCAGGCCATTGCCCGATCCCTTAAATTCACCAACAACCAGCTGAGGATGCAGCTCCAGACTGTGAGTGTCTAAAGAAAGCCCTCTAAAGCAGGGGTGTCAAACTCTGGCCCGAGGGCCACATTTGGCCCGCTTTGTAATTATATTTGGCCCACGAGACAATACCAAATGACTACTAGAGTTGCCCCCGGTATTATACTGTACAGCGCATTCACCGCTAATACTACAAATCCCATAATGCCTTGTTGTTGTTTTGGCGCATCAATCAGGACAGGACCCAGAAACTCCCTCTCCTCTGTGACAGTAGGCATAGCGACTTCACACTACAACTGTCACTGTGCCATTGATGTGTTTTTTTTATTTATAATTTGATTTTGCATGTCTCCACTATTAAGTTATATATAATGTATGGTAATAAGCGTACTTGTTCCATATTCAATGTTAAAGCAAAATTTGTTTCGGTCCATATTAAAAGGTTCATTTGTTCAATGTTGGCCCGCGACTTTGTTCAGGTTTTAAATTTTGGCCCACTGTGTTTTTGAGATTGACACCCCTGCTCTAAAGGGTGGATCAAGCAATATTTATTTTTATGTGTATACATCATCATGCATCTCTGTTGCAGCATATTTAGAGTTTGCATTGCAAAAAATTTTACAAATAGTTATTGAAGATAATCCTGACATGCAGTCCTAAACTGACCATGACATTAGTATAAGCATGTCTAAAGGTGGAATTTTCCTTTAATCTCCTCAGGAGCGGACTGATGACAAGAAAAAAGTCTTCCAGATGGCTGCAGGTATCTGGTGTTTGTCAGGCCTCCTGTGTGAATTCCATTCTGTGTTGTAGTGTTGTGACCCTAACTCTGCAGCATTGAACCCTCCTATAGCAAGACTGCAAGCTCCAGAGGCTGCGGCGGACAAAAAGCCAGATCAGCTGGAGAGCGACGCCACCAGCCAGGAGGCCTCCATTCACACCCCAAGCCCCCGACACAACGGCAGCATCACAAACATTCAGTCTCCTGTCCATCGTGGAAATAGCATCCGCACCATCACCCAATCAGCATCCAGGGCTGACCTGAACAGAGGAAGTGTGGCTGGATCCATGAGAAGCCCAGCAGTGACTGTACTGCCTAAACACCGCCTGGAACACATACCTAACAGGTCTCACATGATGATATATTGGATAAGCCAATTGACAGTGGTGATTTTGTACTTACATAAAGGTACCAAAACGGCAATGTACAAATATTCTGTTACAAGTAAACGTATATTTTAATGTAAACATAAAAGTAATGTTGTCAAAATAGGGTTGAAGTACCCAAAGTAAAAGTATGAATTATGCAGAAAAGTCCATTTAAATATAGTGAATATTCTATATTCTATAATTGGAAGCTAATTATTGATGCATGAGTGTGTTCATCACTAATATTACAGCTGGTGCAGGTGATGATGACTTTGTTTACTGCTGGTTAGCTGGTAAATATCTCTCTGGGAATCAATGCAGTTTTGTTTTAAACTTTTATCATTATTAATCAAAATATCTAAAATATTTAATTTTTGTATTTAAAAAAAGATGAATTGTTGAGCCCTAATTTGTGTTTAAGTTAGAATTAATCCAGGTTTAATCAGTGGGGAGTTTTCTAAATGCTTTCTCAGTTTTTTGCATTCTGTCAAGAAAAATATTCCATGGAAAGCACCAAATACTTGTAAGTTATGGGAATGTCTTTTTGGCATGAAAAGGGTCAAATTTAACCTGCTAAAGAATGAACCATCCATTTTTGTTTACATGTTTAAGAGCATTTTTTTTTGTAAAAACAGCATACCCATTACATCACTGCTTTTATTTTTTATTTTTTTTAGTTTCAGGAATTTTTCCATGTGTTTTTCAAGCTAACATCCAGCTTTTTTTTTATTATTATTACTATTTGTGACAGTACTTGCTACAGTCTTTAAAACCTGTTTACTCATTAGTCAAAGTGAACACCATGTTTTCTTTAATTTTGTCAGAACTATGAGCTGTTAAATGGCTAGCCAGTGCAAACACGCTAACTCATTTTACACTTCTAAACAGAATTACACAATGATAGTATACCTGCAAAACTATAACATTACCATGATCGCATGAGTTGATTATTATTATTGTCCTTTCTCATAACAGGCCCCCACCACTTTTTGGTGGTGCTAGCGGTACCTGCAGGTCCAAGTCCTACCACTACATGGCTTACAATCCCCCATCTCACTGTCCTGACAGCATCCACTCTGACCCCTTGTACAGGAAGACAGTACGCTCCCTACATCCCGTTGAGGCTACTGGGATCATCACTGCACAGAGTTATGGAGGACGGCGTGGTCACACCACCCGCTATGTGATTGTCAATGAGCACGAGCCTAGGAAGAAGCTGCTGCGCTCAGCCACACGTATCCCACGGCATTATCTCATGGAGGAGCCTACAGAGATCTTGGAGCTATACCCACGTAACATCAGACGCTATGCACCACGCACCACTCACCACCAACCACACTGTCACCGGTCCCACCCATCACAGCAGCATCTGAGTGAAGCAGAAGAAGAGGAAGAACAGGGTAAAGGCAGGAGAAGAATGTCATCAGGGAAAGCTCATCGGCCTCGTTCCCTGTCTGACCTCCACCAGCCAGCACACTTCTACATCGGTGACCGTGTAGAAAGCCACATGACTGTGGCCAAAGACAGCCACACAGCTCGAGGAAGATATAGAGCGCAAGAGGATGATGAAGAGGAAGACGGTGAAGGAGAATTGGACTGGGGAGATTTAGAGTTACACTCTCGGTCCCAGGCCAGTGTGAAAGCAGCTGACCCACTTCTTGTGCGAAGCAGGCGTCACATTCATTCCCCAGGAAAACAATATCAGTCCCCAGCCAGGACCGGCCACAAGGAGTCTTATCTGAAGCCCAAGTCAAGGCCGAAGCTGGAAACCCCGCTGACTGAGTCAGACTCAGCCTCCCTGGCCTCCAGCAGTGACCAACAGAACAGCAGCACTGACCAGTATATTCAGGTCATCCACAACAAGGAGCGTTATCTCAAGTCTGAAGCAAGGCAAGGAAAGCTGGCCAAAAAGAAATCTAAAACCAATTTTGATCTAAATGCCACTGGGTCAAATGACTTGGTCTGCTCCAATGTTTGACATTTTTGTGAAAATTAGGTTTTCTGTTAACATGGTTCTCAAAATATCACAGATAGTGTATATTATGTGTTGATACATTGCATTGAAAGCACAAGACGTGTTATTATAAATGTGATTTTGTTCTCCTGTTTGTGTCGTCTTGTATAATTTTGAAACTGCCATTTCATCTAATTGCATGGGTTATTGTAGCAGTGTGTATAGCAATACAATTCTGCCAAAGTGTAATCCAAGCTATAAAAACATATACAGCAGAGTTGCTTAGACTTGCTTCCTATTCAGTCATAACTAGAGGGGCAGTCAGAGAGTGCTGACTTCTGCCAAGGCCAATACCTAAACTCACAATTTTACACTCCCTTGTTCATTGATTAAACCCCTAAAAACTCATCTCAGTGTATCAAAGCTACATATTTTGACATTTTGTCAATAGAAATAAGGCCTCCATGCTTCAAAATGGCTTATATGTGTCTGTGTTTTGCTGTTTTCTCTACAATGTGTAGATCTATGAAGTACTTGCCTCTAACCCCACCCACCCCTCTGCTACTTGCTGGAACTTGAGCATACCAATTTATTTATAATCCTTCTCAAACACTGTGTGACATGTTTGAATTGGAAACCAGTTATGAAGAAGAACATTGAAACAGAAAGTCCCAAGCTGACAGGTTTGGTTCCGTGGGTTTGTTTTGTATAAAACCCTTGAAGTCCGACTCTGCGTTTTAAGACTGTACACATTACATCAGTACACTGCAGTTTTCAACGTGGAATTGCAAACCCATGGTGTTGACTGCTTGTTTTGCTCATGACATGTCTTCCAGCATATAAAAAACACCAGAAGGACATGTTTACAAGGTAAAAAACTTGATTTTCACTTCAAGAAAATGATATGGATTTCATCAAAATTAAATGGGTTCTTGCTTTGCCTATGCTACACGTTTCCACCAAGTTTCATTAAATTAAGCCTGGAAGACAGTGGAAATGATAAGCAAAGGACAAAAAAAATCAGCAGAGCACAGTGGCCATGGCAACTTGATCTGATCATATTAAAATGTATGTATGCACTGATAGCAAGTTTCATGTCAATTGACTAAAGAGTGGGTGTAAGAGATATATGAGGTCAGGCACTGTTTGGGTTGTTTATCTGCTTTAGACAAATTAATATACATAAAGTTCAAGATGTATAAGTTCAGGTGCAGATGTGCAGGTATCTAGTCGTTACATGACAGGAAAAAAAAGCCAAATAGTGGTTGCGCCGACGGAGATGACATCACAATTTGTCATGTCTTAATTTGTCAAGTACCATCTGACACAAGAGTTCCTGTTGTTAAGAGGGAAACACATCAACACAGGAAAAAATGTTGTTTGGGATTATTTCAGAAAATAACAGAAACATTTTTAGCACTTCCAGAGGAAGGCATCCTGAACTTTGTGTAAGATCATCAAAGCGTTGCGAGGACATGCTCTAACTTCATCAGAATCAGAATCCACTGAGTGGGCCACCGCTGTAGCCCACCTGGTTGAACTGGTGACCCATGTGCTGGGGCTGTGGTCCCCTACACAGCGGTCGTGGGTTTGAATCCAGCCAATGGCCATTTGCTGCAGGTCCCTCCCCTGTTCTTCTCCCCACTTTCCTGTCTCTCTCTCTATCCTGTCAAATAAAGGCAAAAAGGCCAAAAAATAACTTAAAAAAAAAAAGAATCCACTGAGTGTAACAGACGAATGGTTTTGAAAATAAAATGTCAGCCTAATAACTAAGGATTTGTCTAAAGATGATCCTGCCAAATTCAGTGAAGACTTCTTGATAAAATACAACACGGCATACATACCTTTGTCTGACATTATAGGTGGTCACGTCCCATCCTTGGGATCTCCGAAGAAATCACCAGACATATCAGGGCCAACACATCACACGTGCTAAGGAAAAATGCATCTTTGCTTTTTGCTCCTCAGTGGTCAAGATGGTTTTTTGGTTTATATTTACAACCCCAGAGAGGGATACTAAGCCTATTGCACACAGTTTGGTGTTGACACATCCAGCAGTTGCTGCAATTCCCGTTTGGCAGCTTAACCACAGATTTCAATTGGTTGTGACAGACCAAACGCTTTGAAAATCTAAAATCCATCTGTTTACTTTTGTGAGAGGCATGACCTGAGGATTATCTGTACCAGTTTTGGTGAAGACTGGTAAATGTATGATCTGTAAGTAAAAAACAAAATAAAAAAATCTATCAAATCCAACATGGCAGTCAGATCAACGAGGCTAACATGACAAGTCTAAACCGTATCTTCTACTGTGTTACAGGCAGAGGCACCCCCAGATAGGACCAGTGAAAACCCTGGGGGAAAAAACAAAACAAAACTTTATTAACAAAAGTAACAACAACATGAGCAGCTCGTGCCTGTCCATGTTAATCACAAATTACAAGTGTAATGTCAACCCAAAGTCAAAACTGTTCAGACTACTCAAACTCAACCACCAGTGGACAAGAATAAGAAGCTTCTGTTCTTATGCCAGGATTTATAACTCAGTGCTGACGCCTTATTACCACTCATTCAGGTAAAGTTACTGTCTTGCCATTCATGTCATTATTAGGGGGACACTGTTACAACCTCAGCTATTAGCCCAGCAGCAGGTTGGACAGTATGTCCTGCTTTGCTTGGGGCTCGTCCTCTGTGACCTTGTTGCTGCATGTTGTGCATTTTGGTCCCAAGCTGCTGTTCGTGCTTCTTCACTGTTCTGATACTGATGCTGCCTGTTGCTGCTCCTCTGTTCTGTCCTGTTCTGTCCTCACCAACATCAGCCCTCTCCCTGCACTACCTTTCTTCTTAAAGAAAAAACAGATGTCTGTGGACTTTCTCTTTATTATCTGCAAACTGAGAAAGCACCCCTGCACAGTTAGTAATGGTGGCTAGTGAGCCGACACCAGCAACCCATAACGTCAGCTAATAAAATGCTCATTAGAGTAGACCAACCAGCAGGTTCAACACAGACAAAGTTACTGAACACACCCTTTTGTTTCAGTAAGTACTGTATGATTCACTTAGCTGTAGGTAGTCTGCTGGTCTGAAACGACTTCACCCGCTGCTGTCCATCAGTCAGTCTGCTGCTACGGTGCTGCCTTCAGCTTGATTATTTCAGGGCTGGCCATGGCCCCCCTTGATACTGCCACTGATTACAGGACACACAAATTATGTGTTTAAACCTGCTTATTGCAGCGTCCCCTAGTGGTCAAATGCCACATTTATTTTGGTGCTTCCTCAAAATGTGGTCCCAAAGGTGCATCTCAAGATCTACACTACCATAGTATTATAGTATGCTTGAAAAGATTCAGTATGTTCCAAGACTGACATTCTGACCCACAATCCTCTGCGCAGCTGCATCACATATGTGACTCCCCTACATCCTCAGGTCCTTTCCTCGACTCCTTTCCTCACATCTTATTCCCTCCCACCAGAGGAGGCGAGCTGGCGATGCGAGGGTGGAGGAGCTGAGAGGGAGAAATTTGCATAATTATGACAAAGTAGAATTTGCAATTAGATACATATTGTATGAAACAGTATGTACTTTGATGTACAGCTGCAATATGTACTAAAAGTAAAAAGATAATGTGATTCTGCATGTAGCCCAAGTTTTGTTTTGACAGATTAAAGATGTGGCCTAACTGCCTGCAGCTGGCCAAGACTTCTGATTGGCTCATACAGACAAATACTTTGGTAAGTTAATGAGTCATATGATAACTTTGGTGAGCCTTGTTATAAAGATAATCTCTGCCACAGTTGGTAGAGATTGGAAAAAACGTTGGCTTGTAAAAACTTTATTTTATGTTTTGAACTTGAGCCAAAAAAACTTAAAGGTTCCTCATTTTTGAAAATCAGATTTATGGTCTACTCACTGGAAGCTTTCATGAGTTTCCACCACATGCTTCAGGCTGCAATATAGACTGTAGAAGAGGATGTGAAAGAAAAAGCAGAAGCCAGAGGGAGGCGCCTCCACCTGCAGAGGTTCCGTCTACCGGGAACAGACAAGGATGTGGTTAATCATCCACCCTGAATAAATACCGTTTCATCTGCGATCACTACAATTCCCATATTACTTTGCTGCAACGAGGAGAGGCGCGTGAACCCAGACGTATAGGACGAGTCTGGAGCTTTAACCTTCACAATAAAACAAGTTGAACTTTCGTTTAATTAAATAGTCCGTTGTGCTCAAACCGACAGAAAATCTCCGGAATCTGCTGAAAACACGTGGACAGTGTTATTGCAGCTTGTGGTACATTTAATAAACATGTACGTTAAAGAAAATGGCTTTTCCTTTGAAAGGTTATGAGCGGACGTTGCTGTTTTTTTCCCCTGGATGACGTATACCTCAGGAAACGCTGTTTATCGTACTTAAGGGACTAAATCGGGCTGTTTTCGGACTTAAACACTTAAACCGAGGCTCGTGTGGACGGTAGCGACCTTTGGAGGCGGTGCGGACGGTGCTGATGCTGGCCCTGGCCCTGATGCGCCCGGCTGTGGATGTGTCTGTCCCTGAACATCGCTACCTCACCGCCAGCTAGCCGCCTGTGAGCGGACGATGCAGTTCATTCATTTCGGCTAACGCTAGCTGCAGCGGCGGTTCGTGCTCACCTGAGCAGCTCTGAGCTTCTCCTCTACCTTATTACTTCTAGCTGCTGACGAAAGCCGCTGTAACGTGAATCAGGTTTACAAAAAAATCACTTTTACGGTAACTGTTATGGATTACGAGCATAAAGCGAAGGAAGTGGCTGACTGTTTGCTGAGCTACAAGAGAGATGAGTCCGGATGGAAAGTCTGCAAGAAATCGGTAAATGTTGTATTTCTTGCCTGCTGTGATAGTGTATGAAACACGTGCAGTGGTCCTCTGGTCCTGCTGCTCTCTGGACCTCCGCTAGTGTCCCTGATGAATGAGTCCCTTGACGTGGCCTACCTGTCCGGACAGCATGGGGAACCTGAGCCACACCTGAGGCTCACATCTCTGATTCATCAAGCTGTAGAAACAACACGTTACATGTTTTACCTAACCTTGGTCCAAACTCTGCTGACACTGACAGATGGCTGACAAATAAAAGAAAAACCTAAACTCTTGACCTGTACATCCAGTGACTGCTATGTTGTGGAGGGCCTGGGGGTAGACTACTGCCATGGTCTGGCTCCAGTTCTTCAGACCTCTGCAGTTCAAAGTAGTTCTTAGTGATCACCTCAATCCTACAATGGAACATTTCTATCCTGATGGAGGTGGCCTCTTCCAGGCTGACAGTGCCCCCATCAGTAGGGCTTAAGGTGGGACATTGGATGGTTTGATGGGAATAAAAATGATGTGGATCATATACTGTGGCCTTCATAGATACCAGAATTCAACAGAGTAGAACACCTGGGAGATATTGGGCTCTTGTGTTAGCCAGTGCTCTCCACCACCACCACCACCACCATCAAAACATCAAATGAAGGAATATGATTATAATATTTTTTTGGAAGAATGGTGGTTCATCTGTTTAGGATTTAAATAGACATCAACTTTAAATAGACATCAACTGTGTAGCCCTGTGATGGACTGGCGACCTTTCCAGGGTGTCCCCTGCCTTAGTCAGCTGGGATAGACTCGAGCCCCCCACAACCCCAGTGAGGATAAAGTGATGTATAGAAAATGGATGGATGGATCCTTATTGTTCTGAAATGAAAAATACTTTATTTATCCCAGAAGGGAAATTCAGTTCTGAAAGATTAATATAATTGTAGTGTAATTCATAGTTATTTGAAACAGTTTTTTATTTAAAACTTGGATGCAATATATATATATATATATATATATATTTTTTCAAAATATACTTTTTCTAATGTTAAGTATTTTATTTTACTTTTTATTCATCTGAACTCTTACAGCCCCATGCAGCTCCTAATCAACACTAAACTGATTTAAGATGCTTAACTTGCTGAAAAGTTAAGTGCAGTTAAGGACCATGTAGTGCCAGTGCTGGACACAGTGGTGAGGCCATGTGTAAACGCCAGCTCCTGGTGCTCAGTGATTATTAACTGTGAGCGTGGTGTAACTGAATATCACCTTTGTGGTACACTTGCTTGTCAAATTTGGGAACATCTTTTTTGGGTTGTTTTGAAATGTGACGTGTGTCAGAGAGAACAGCATGTACCTGGATCATTTCTAACACAAACACAAATGTTGCTCACTGTAAATTCACTGTTTTCCTTCACAGAATGATGTGATTGTGTCATGGCGTCCCTCGTCTGAGTTCCCTGGGAATGTGTAAGAAATCTTAACTTCTCCTTTTCTGTCTCATTTAGTTTTTGATTCATGAACTTTTTAAAACAATGATGAAACACCAAATAAATAGCAAATTGCAGGTAAAAACACGTTGCTGTTATGCAGGTACAAGGATAAACACAAGGATAAGGATAATGGTGAGGAAAACGTCAGTACTTGGAAGTAGAGAAGACTTTTATTTCCCACCACACTATATTCTTTTTAGAATAGAAAGTAATTGTTTATTGTTATTGTTGTTGATTAACAACAACAACAATAATAGTAGTAGTGGTAGTAAGGCAAGTGGGTTTTTATAGTGGACCAGTCGCTTTTAGTAAGTGGATGTGTTTTACGTTGTTGTTTTTTTAAAATCTATATTACCTATATATCTATACTTATTTATCTGTGGGCATGGGTTAAATTTTTATTTTGTAGAATGTATGAATCCAACTTACAGCACAGTTGTGCCTTTATCATTTGCTCTGCTGACCGTGTCCTGTTGTCTGATTCACTTGACAGTTATAAGGGCGAGGGGATCATCAGTGGCAGTCCGGAGAAAGTGTGGGAATGTCTGAAACCAGCACCCAATGGGCTCAGAGTCAAATGGGACAACAATGTCAAAAAGTTTGAGCTTCTGGAACAAATCACAGAGGTGTGTTGCTGTTATACAATGTGTCTAAGGATTTACTTCATGCACTTTTCATAGAGTTTTTCTTACATTCTTTGGTTTGCCAAAATGAAATTTAAAGCTGCACCAGGTTTTTCAGACATTGACAATGTAAAATGACAGTAAAACTGATCTTGAAATGCCATACTAAGAAATCTTGTTCAGTCATGTTAACAAATTCCACATATAACAGGTTTTATTGAAATTTACAATGAGGTGTCATGCCAAGGTGCACTATTGGAAAACCAGAGGCAAAAGGTCATTTGTACAAGATACAGTGTGGTTTTGATTTGACTTATCTCTTCTCATGTTGGCATTTCCCAAATATAGAATTTGATCACTTGGTATAATTGATCAAATTACTTGAAAATCCAAAGCTTACCTGATGCAGCTTTAAATGCACACATGAGAAACCAGAGGTTATATCCATTTTTGCTTTTTCTTTGTTCAACTCAGTTGTTGAGTACATCCCTTGTCTCCCACTTTTGCACAGGACATCTCTATCTGCCGAACAGTCACGCCCTCAGCAGCTATGGGTATCATAGCTCCACGAGACTTTGTAGATGTTATTTTAGTTAAGCAATACGAAGATGGCACCATTTCATCAAATGGTGCGTAATGATTTGTTCTTGTCTCCTCTACTTCTTATACCTGTTTTTTCTGTACTTTCTAAGGTTCATTGTGGCTCGCAGTAAGGGCTGGACTGCTTGGGTCTGGGTCCAAGGCTGTTAAAGATTTTCCTACACTGAGGACACATTACAGGCCTGAACAGACTTTCTGCCTTTGCTTTCTTTTGCATATACCTAAGGTTGTTTATAGTAACAGCATTCAAGGAAAAAAAAAAACTTTGCTCAAGTTTATCAAAAGAAGCCTGTTGATTATTGGGAGCACATTCTTTGGTCAGATGTGACAAAGGTAGTTTTGTTTAACACAGATGTAGTGCAGCGTGTTTGGTGTGAACCTGTTAAGGACTACCTCAGTGAATGTAAAGTCCCAACAGTGAAGCACAAAGGTGATCTCGTCATGATATGGGACTGCACTCAGGCAGTCCCGTATCATGACGAGATGGCTCTCAGATGCATGGCAGAAGGGGAATATTTCAGCATGAAAATGACCCAAAGCACACGACCTATAATGACCAATCAGTTAGGTCATAGTCACTTTTGTTCTCTAGAAAAAGAAAAACGTAAAAACGATGACCTGGCTAAGTATATCGTCTGACTTGAACACAATCGAACGCCTTTGGGGTACTTTAAAGAGACGCCTTCAGACCCTGCAGCAAAGACCATTGAAAAAAAGTTGTCGCGAAAGAGTGATTGAACCTCTCTCGTGAAATTTGTGCACCACTGGTATCCTCAGTGCTGAGGAGGGCAGAGTCTGCCATTAAAAATAATGGTTAGTTTTTTATTTTGCATACCAGCAAATATCCTGCTGTTCAACTCAGACGTATTACAATGACTCTGTCACATGGCGTCACTTACTGTCCACCCCCAGTTTGTTTCTCTGTGGTGGTGGGATGCTTCCTCTACTGCCTCGGCTGGGTTACTTAAGGCAGCTCTTCAACAATCTCATTTTTATTTTTTTACATAGACTTTGTTGAAATGCTTTTGTCTTTGCTTGCCAGTGTTATTTGTAAAATATTTCCCAGGCACCCAAGTGGCCAACATTTGTTTGACTTGAAGTGTTTATAGGAAGAGAAAGGACAATCAAGTCTTCCAATCTCGACATGAACAAAGGCACTGTCAGTCTCAGCTTTGGTAGAGTGCAAGTCTGTTTTGTTTGGCAGAATCTAATTGTACTGGCGCTCTGCTGGAGTGCCATTGGCATATTGTTGGTTAAATTTGTTTTTCCAGGTTGCTTTAAAAAGATTTTGGTGAAATCATGTCTTCAGTTGGCCTTGTGCACACTTGTAGTGTGTCCTCAGTGTCAGGCCTGGTTGTTACTGACTGATACAAGAGTTATCAACGATAACAGAGCAGCACAGCATCTCTGGTTTTATAGACTGCTGCCCTGTTCCTCTAGCATAAAGCATCATTGAAAAGATAATCTGGTTTAGTACAACTCAGCTGTTATTTCAATAAGTTTAATCATCAGTTCTAATTGTTGTGGTGAGATTGTACTTATCAATATTTAATTTTCTCAAACAGCTACAACAGAAGAGCATTAAAATACAAATAACAAAAAATGCTCAAAAATTTAGAAAGTCAAGATAACAGGATTTAAAACTTAGATGAAGGGCAACAGCCGTTGAGAACTATCTGTGTTCACTGAGGGTGAACAGTGAAATACTGTCAGTGTAAAAGAATCAAGACTCTAAATACCTATAACAACACTGAATCTGAATATGGTTGTCTGTAAAGCATAGATGGTGGGTTTTCATGAACAGATATTTCAAAAACTTCAAAACATGGAATGCCTGATGGTCCTGATAACGGTGAGCGGGGTGGGGATCTGAGTTCTGCCTGCTTGACGGGAAGACAGTAGGAGAGTAGACGGGAAAGAGATGACACACTGAAAAACCACAGTGCAGGGTATAATGTTACCTGTTACCTTTTGTTTGGCCGGGAGGAAGTTCACCTCCGTTAGTTGTCGCAATGCAGTTAGTAGCTAGGACTGTTATGTCTATTTCCACTTTTATTTGAGTACAGACACAAAATAATTCTGCTACTTCAATGAATACAAAAAAACTGGGCTGTCTGAACACCTGTACCTACAAGTACTTATTTGTTACAATCCAAAACATTTTAATTATTCATTAATTAAAACTACAGACATAGACCTCCACATTGTGCTTAACATGGCAACTCGATCAAGGAAATGCAAAGTAATTCCAGATGAGGTTATATTACGTGTCCACCCAGTATACTGGTTTCCATAAGCGCTGATAATTATTAACCACTGGATCACATTTTATGGGACTTTATCAGAATCTGAAGTAACAGCCCCAATGAGCTGTATATTTTAAAACAGTGTCATCACAATAGGGCAATACCTTTGTGATATTTAGCTGTGGAGCAATAAATCAGTAGGAATGCTGACTGTTTAACAGCTTTCAGTTAGATTAGTAGGTTTGGATTATTTGGATAACCTATTGGCTTGTTTACAACCTGAGTTCTTGTAGGACTACTTGTGTTTCTTGCCCCTTAGTATTTTGCACTGATGCCATGGTCCGCCCCCAGACGACCAGACCTCTGCTTTGGTTCAATTCACAGAGCTCCCTTTTAGGACATGAAGAGCACCCATAATGGTGTCTACAGTAAAAGCGAGGCTTTTATGAAATATTTACCCACTTTATTGCAGAAAGTTAAATGAGAGGCTCAGTACAGTACACTAACTTATCTATTCATTCAGTTTGAAGTCACAGCTAAGACATGGTTAGCTTAGTTTAGCTGTAGTTTCATATTGTGTGGACAGATGTGAGAGCAATATGGACCGTTCCATCTAATTCTCAGCAAAAAAGTAGTCAAGTGTATTTCTCAAAAGGCTGTTACTTTAGTATCTGGACTCACATGGTTGTTCTCAACACAGCACAGTTCCACAGACCCTCACAAGATAAACATAATCAAGACAGATATGCATGTTTGCTTGTGTTTTTTTTTTTTTGTGTGACGTCGAACAGCTACCAATGTGAGTCACCCCGGCTGTCCTCCCCAGTCTGGCTACGTGAGAGGATTCAACCATCCATGTGGTTGCATCTGTGTCCCCATCTCAGGGTGAGAACACTGACAACAAAGACACACTAAACCATGTCCATCAACACTGGGATTTAGGAATAAGAGAAATTTTCCAGCCCACCACCCCCCCTACCGCTGTCCTCATACCACTTACACTGCTCAAAAAAATTAAGGGAACGCTTGGATCTCACATCAGATCTCAATGAACAAAAAATTTTAGTTGAAAATCTTTAATGATATACATTATGTAATTCATTGAGAACAGATGATGTAAGAACAGTCAGTGGAAACCAAAATGATCAACCCAGTGAGGGGTTGATTTAAAATCACACCAGAAATCTAAGTAAAAATTGAAGTCACAGGCTGTTCCAACTTGTGTGAGTTTCATCACAACAACTCATAACATGGCTCAGTCATGTCTATGACCCCCTCGTGCCTGTATGCACTCCTGACAACTGCTGGTCATACTCCTGATGAGACAGCGGCTGGTATCCTGGGGGATCTCTTTCCAGACCTGGATCAGGGCATCAGTGAGCTCCAGGACAGTCTGTGGCGCTACTTGGTAGTGTTGGATGCATCGATACCTAACGTCCCGGAGGTTCTCAGATGGATTTAGGTCCAGAGAACACGAGGGCCAGTCAATGGCATCAATGCTGTCATCATCCAGGAACTGCCTACACACTTCAGCCACATGAGGACGGTCATTGTCCTGCACCATGAGGAACCCAAGGCCCACTGCACCAGCGCAAGGTCTGACAGTAGGTCTGAGGATTTTATGCTGATACCAAACATGAGCACCATTGGCTAGCACATGGAGGTCTGTGTGACCCTGCAAAGATATGCCTTCCCCACACCATTAGTGACCCACCACCAAACCGGTTATGCTGGATGATGTTGCAGGCAGCATATTGTTTACCAGGGTATCTCCGGTAAATACCTATCAATCTGCAAAGTCCCACGAGAGGACGTTGGGTCCTACTGCCACCCTCATGGACTCTGTTTCTGACAGTTTGGATGGAAGCAGACATGAGTAGCCCTCTGGAGGTCATTTTGTAGGGCTGTAGCAGTGCTCCTCCTGTTCCTCCTTGCACAAAGAAGCAGATTTCCGTCCTACTGCTGGGTTGTTGCCCTTCTACTGCCCTGTCCAGGTTTCCTTTTGTAAAGGTCTGTCTCCTGGTATCTCTTTCATGTATAAGACCATGCTTAAAGACACCACAAACCTTCTTGTAATGGCACATATGGATGCGTCTTCATGGATGAGCTGGATTACATGTGCAAGCTTAAATAAGCTGCTGGTACCGCCTCATGCTACCAGCAGTCATATGGGCACTGGTTAAATGCAAAACTAGAAAAAATTGGTCAGGAAGGATAAGGAAAGAAAATATAGTCTATGGCCACCACCTGCAAAAAACATTCCCTTTTTGGAGGTTGTCTGCCTGTTGCCTCTCCTGTCCACCTGCTGTCACTTTTATTTTCACCAGAGCAGGTGAAAGTGATTCACAATCAGTTACTCCTTTTGAATTTTTTTGAGCAGTGTACATTCTAACTGGGGTGAAGCTCAAGATCACCGCAAGGCAACAACCTGCTTTAAAATATCACTGCAACAAGGACTGGGTTAACTTGTTCCAGAGCTGCTCTCTTTTCCTCCCTGGGGCCTTGAGAAAAAATCTACAGAGCGGTCTGCCATATACATCATGTGCCACTGCCACAGAGTCACACCTTATACCCCAGTGCTCCCACTACAGTCGTCCTCTCTTTAGAACAGTTATGTGTACCATCATAAGGATGGGAGACTTGACAGATATGGCTAGCTGTGATCACTGGGCCTGTTTGGTGTATTTGCCATGTTTCCCTCTGGTAAAGCTGGTGGCTGTTTGTTGGATGGCCCTATTCAAGTTGGGTATTGCCTTAACAAATTAAGCAAAGCCAAGTGTCAGTGTTTACTACTCTGAGTTCTCTCCAAATGGTAGGGAAATAGCAGTATTGATAAGATGGGATGCTAGCTTGCTGTGTATCTTTCTCTCTTTGGCTGTTTCATAATCTAGCTGCTAGTTGTGCAGTCCATCTCGTGTTCTGTGAGTGTCTTGCTTGCTTAAAGCCACTTCCAGGGCTGTGTTCTGTGACTTTATGCCTGACTGAACTGAGCATGAAATGAAAGTGCTCCATCTGTCGGTCTAAGAATAAGTGGACTTATAAAGTAACTTCATTCCTTTCTATCTTGAATTTGTCCAGATTGGTAACTAAATACATGTTCACATAGCTGTATTTCACTTTGATTTTAGCAGATAACTTAGTGAGACAGACAGACGAGCAAGAGATGCATCCTGACGTCAAACCTGAAAAGAAGAGAACACCAGTTTACCTGATTGCTGCTCCAACAATTCACTTTCATGCTGTTTTTTCTTAGGGTGTGAGTGAGTGAATGACCAGAAGAATAGCTCTGCGTCATTCTCTCATCAACCCTGGGAACACTGACACCTGCTTTGCTCTGAGAGGTAGTCAGGGCCCTTGACTAATCTCCAGAGTCCTGTGCTCCGTGCATAGTGCGCGTATAAGTTCATGTGACATACGGCCAGCTGCTCCACCAGAGGGAACTTCATAGACGCATCAAATAGGCGTAGTGGTGACATCTACCTATACCTGTCAATCCCCCTGTTTTTCACATGATTCTCTTTTGTTTCCCCTCTTTGCCTCGTCGTCCTTCATTTCATTGTTTTAGACATTTCAAGCTTTTGCCTTTCTTTTAAAAAAAAAAAGATAAATAAGGTGGCTGTAAGTCTTGTTGATGGTAAACATAACCATATCTGCAGATGGAGTAAATAATTCAAAAGAGGGAGACTTGTAGTGGGAGCACTGAGGTATCAGGTGTGACTGTGGTGCAGTGGCAAATGGTTTACATGACTCACGGGTCAGGTAGAAGAATTTTACTCAGGGTGCCTGGGAGGTCAGGACCAGCTGTTGTACTGATGTTTTAAAGCAAGTGATTACGTCGTGATGATTTCAGGATTCACTGTATGTAAGTGTTATGTAGACAGTAGGTAGGGCCGATGTCCCAGTGTCGACAGGTATGGACCTGCTGTTGATGGAGTTTAATTAAATATAAGCTTTAGCTTCTGTTTTTCTGCAATAACATTTGTTTTTTTCCAACATTTCCAGAGAGCCCAACAAAACCCAGGTGTTCAGTTTCTTCCAGACAGACTTGGGTGGCTTCCTCCCTCGCTCAGTGGTCGACTCGTTCTTCCCCTCCAGCATGACAGAGTTCTACAGCAACTTGACCAAGTCGGTTAAATCCCTCAAAGACCTTTGACACCGAGCATTAAGAAGTCCACATCAAGCCTGAGGCCTGCTGAACAGTCAGGCCACAGATGTCCATTCCATTTTAAACAGTCCAATCCAACAACGGTTAGCACTCTGAGATTATCAAAGATGCCAAATATTCAATTTAAATAGATCTAGTCCATACTTTATGTTATGTGCATTCCTTAATTCCTGTGTTACTGTAGGAGGAGTCTAGTAAGTCTTTAACAGTCAGCACTAATATTTGAGAAGTTCTCTCACGAGAACAAGGGCTTGCATTTGACAGACTTTAGAATTAAAACTCCCTTTACATTCCCTTATGTGGGATCAATTTAGTTCCTCTAATCTTAAAGAAAGTAGATGTAACATATATTTGTAGATGTGCTACAAGTACATAATTTTCCTTTTTACCAGATAATTGTGGCACCAGATATTTCCTTTTTTTAATTGCATACTTCAGTGTATACAGTAAACATGCATGTTGCATGGATTTTATTGACCCTGTGCTGATATCAGACTCTTACCTCATATTTACTTGTTTGTATTGTGCTTGAAATGACATAGTTTTGCTGATTTTTGGTCACCTGTAAACCATGAATACCTGCCTTTAAAATGCAGCTACACTGAAGCACTAAAGCACAGATGGGATGCCAAAGGTGGGGTTTTTTTTGGTTTTATCTTTTTAATCTCTAGAATATCTTTTGAGTAAGACATGTGTAGTGCTGCTCTACAAAGCAGAAATGTGTCTGCCCCCTTTTTTCATAGCAGGATTTCTGTAGTACATTTCCCTTTCTTCTTCCCCATATACATGCATATATATTATTTGTTTGTAGTTAGTGTTTTATTCTGGCTAACTAGACTCACAAAACTGATCAGCAGCTGCCTGATTACTTAGTCCAGCTATTACCAGGTATTTTATTTAATAATAAGGGATGACACATTCGGTAAAACCCATCTAACATGGACAAATGCCAATCATGTTTATGATTCCTAAGTTGATGACGCTGATGTGGATACATGCTTGTGTCAAATAAAATAATTTAGGATGTAAAGGAATATAATAATAACTATTATTATAATGATATTATAGGCTGATACTTCCAAGAAATCAGGATATATTAAAAGCGAATACTGTCCAAGTGGGCATTACAAACAGTTCACTATCATATATGTTCCGCTGTCAAAACAAAGCTGTTCCAATGCAGAGTTGTGAGCAGTGCAAGGTATCCAGATTCTTTGCACATAGGTCAATTTAAAATAACCTGGCAAAGACAGAGAGCAAAAGAGAAAGATTTGTTTAAAAAAAAACTTTAAAAAAGATAAACACACTGTGAGGTGTCAGTGTAGGAAAACAAACTCAGAATAGGCTGTTGTTTTTTTTTTTTGAAAGAATTATTTAAAGTGTGTTTATGGGATCTACAGTATGCTAAAGTAAGTACATCAAGGCTAACAAAAGAAAGGCAACATGCATTCTGTGTATTCTGTATAATGGTATAATGGTACTCATGACAAAGGGAGGAATGTCAAGTCCATCACTTAAATATGGAGGGAAAGGCTTGCTGTGTCATTCTTCAGATTTGGTTTCAGTGTGTTGCCTGAACATGTGTGGCAGGATTATTCCAATGATACGACTTGAAATGGTGTTTCGTAGAGTTTTCCAGTGTTTGAGCAGAGTTGTAGGCGAGCGTATGTGCTCGAGCTGCAGTGAGTGGAGAGAGGGAGGTGGTGATAAGTGACCAGAAAGGGACTTTAAATTCTCTCTTATTGAATAGCTCAAAACAAATTAGTACTTCACTGTGTCTCTTCTAACATGCTGCTTGTTGAGGTTTCTGTGGGGACATCGATCTGGGATTGGCAGGAGCTTGATTCAGACTTTGTTTACATGCGGAGACTCTCAATGATTCACTTGAACCTGCTCAAGCAGTGTCTTATTAAGACCATTTACAGTATGTTTTTTTGTTTTGTTTTCATAAGGCTACCTCACTGTCCATACATTCTAGTTAATAATAGTCCTGTAAAGGGAAAAAGTCATGGGAAATGTACTTTGGGAATTGTTCATTATGAGTGTTTAGATATGTCAGCAGTTTTAAGTTCTTTACACTTGAAGACAGTCATAACTGGACAGACGTCTCCCTACACTGACCATTTAAATCAGGGGTTCTCAACTGGTCTCGCCCTGGGACCCACATTTTCCCATGGTCATTAAGTTGCGACCCAATTTTTTTTAGAATTCGATATTCAATATATTTTCCTGTGCAACATGCATTTCAGAGCATATAACCATGCACAGTATCTGGACCATGACAACTACATATACAAAAGTGACTAAAATAAATATCAAAACTACTCAAAAATAAAGTTTTGGACTATTCAGGTCATTTGTTGAAGTTAATGAGACAGTTGGACACGTGCTCTACTCTTGATTAAAGTTTCAGAGTCTGGGGTGACAGTAGACAGAGCTGCTCTCAGATCATGCTCAGTGTCCAACCTGTTCCTCTGCTGTGACTTGAGCTGGACCAAGGTAGAGAAGCTACTGTCACACAGATAGGTTGTGCTGAATGGTAAGATTGTTTTAACTGCAGGAGTGGTGAGGGATGGATACTCAGCCATCACATGGCTACACCAGAAGTGGGAAAGGTTTACCTCCCCACATCTCTTTTCCAGTGTCTGATCACATGACAGCTCCACCAGCTGATGCTCTCATGCAGCCACATTTCGTTGTCAAACAGTTCCGCATACAGGGAGTTAGTCTCAGAGAGGAATGTGGCGATTTCTGATTTAAGTTCGTAAAAGCGTGACAACACCTTGCCCCTCGACAGCCAGTGGACTTCTGGGTGCGTGCAGGCTCCGACGGGCTGGAAGTGGCGGGACGCAAAGGCAGCTTTTGGCTACTAAGACCAGTTTAGGTGTTTACGGTAGCGTTGACAGCACCGTTTCCATGACGGCAGCGGGGGGTGGGGGGGAGCTTATTTTTCAGACGGGGGGTGCGGGTGCTGAGCATTTGGTCCGACCGATGGTCACACTGCTGTATCAGTGGTAGGGTGGCGGCGGCAGGGGCGAGGTGGGATGAATATTCGGAGATCAAAACTGATATCCAGATTCCAGCACAGCGAATGAATAGTTGGCTATTAGGCTATCCGGGTCCAGCCCTAGTATGAAAACCCACATTTTAAATACTCCGGGTCATATTTGCGCTTTGCCATCTTGCATCCCAACATCAACACAAACTTAAAATGAACGTCGAACAAACTGCGGTTACCATGCCTGTCAAAATAAACATTTTTTCAAAATAGAAAATGAATCCAACCTGAGACGCACATTAGATATTATTTAATTTTGACCAGCTGTCCACGACCCACCCAGAACAGGTCCGCGACCCACTTTTGGGTCGTGACCCACCAGTTGAGAACCCCTGATTTAAATCATGTCTAGTTTTTTGACGCTAACACATATTTTCAGGTTTAACTATGAAAAAGTCTTCTCCAGCCTGCAATTAAAATCAAAGCTGAGAGCACTTGAAAGAAAGATCTAAAATCCTGTCTGTTTTTAATTACATAACTACATAAAAGTTGGTATTGTACAAATTTTACTTACTCCTATAATATATAATACATATACAAATGCAGGTTATTTCACAGCTGTCACAATCTTTTTCAAGTACTTAGAAACTGCACACGTGTACTCATGTTACTCTTTATACACTCAGGCTCCCTTTTCTACATCTTGATGGTTTTAGAGACATTGTTCAAGCCATCCCTTCATCATTAAGGTTGAAGTGGACAGTTCTTTGATGATAATGTCTGGATTTTCTCATTGAAAGAACTACGTTCAGTATGTTGCTTGAACAATAACAGCACTTTATGAAGAACTCCCCCTGTATGAAATGAACATGTAAGCATTTGAAGATAATTTACATCATGGGAAGTCTGGTGATTGATTTGGTTTGTGTGTTGAACTAACAGTGCACCCACTTTCTCTAGAGCCTTTACTTGTCTGGTAAGCCATACACAGAGGCTGTCATGTTTTGCCTAGTCTTCTGAGAAGTATCAAGGTTCCTTTTCCCACTTTACCTGGAACATCTTTTACCTCACAGTGTAGACAGTGATCGTAACGAACAACTTTAATTGCATTCCACCAGTTTCAAGTTCCAACATGTGCTTGGTATGCCATTGCTTACATGTGGATCTAAAGACATTCCTGTGTGTGTTTTGTTTAAATGGAGACAGGAACTTATTTGTTAATGTGACATTGCCTCAATGTACATGCAGGTAGCTACTTAAGGAGAGAAAAATAACATTCACAGTGTATTAGAAATACAAAGTGAGTAAAAACCAGCAAATCACTTAGTTTTTGTGTTCAGTGGAAGTAAGTACTACATTACTTTTTTAACTTCTTGACCTATTTGAATTTGTTGGGTTTCTCTTTCAAATAATACTGTAAGAACTTCACCTTACTATGTGGAGTGCCCTGAGTTGACACATGTTGTGAATTGGCGTTATATAAATAAAACTGAACGGACTTGAATTGACCCACCCACATCTGGTATCAGTAGTTTCTGATTCTATTCTCTTTGACATCTCATGTTAGTCATCTGCATTTACACCTTCTGCTAAGTTCTGTCATTATGCCTCCTGCCCTCTTGTGATCACATATTCATATTCCAATAGTCAGATTTGACAGACTTGTCAGCAAGCATCTTTCAGTATGTCTCAGGTTAAGAGAGATAATGCTGGAGTCCCTGGAGACACCAGTACAAAACAAGGGTCACATGACACAGTTGAAGAACGGATGCAATCTGAAGGGTACTTAAATTGTCTTAACTAATGAGGCAGTTTCTATTAATTCTGTCATCAGAGTGTCATCAAAGCCACCAGGGAAGCCTGATGGCACCAACGCTAGCTTAGCTATGTTCTGTTATGTTGCAGCTATCCCAGAAGAGTTTGCTGTAGTGATGCTGCTGCATGGGTGGCCTTTAAAGGGAGGGCTCGTCTGAAGCTCATTGGACACTGTGACTGAGTTGCAGAATCGCCAACAGTTTATTTTCACCAGATTTCTGCTTGTTTTCTTAATGTGTCTTCTGCCATTGTCCCCACTGGAGGACCCTGTGTACTGTAGCCTGAACTGACCAGACAACAGGAGTCCACTTGGTAGTGATGACCAAAAAACTTTGCTTAAACATTTGATGAACTACTTTAATTGTTAAAAGCCCAGTTCCTTCAGATTCCAAATCCAGTCAGAGTCGCGCAGCAGGAATCATTTTAGCGTAGATTTAACCTTTTTGTTCTCTGACCTCAGTGAGCTTTGACCAACGGTTATCTCAGTGTATGCAGAAAGACACAGTGTTCACAGAGCATGTAACCTACGGCAGAACCAATTTAACCCTCTACGTGTTGCATTGTGACTGTGACAGCTTTTTTAGTCCTGAGACCAAATACCATGAAAAAAATTTTGAATTCTGTGATTGAAATTAATACTAATCCAAAGTTTTCTTATGTACATTGTCCGGGCAACTTGTGGTCCAACAACCAGTTCAGACAGTCTTTGTCTTCTGTGTTAGAGTAGTTGCATGTGGTACACACTGACTGTTTTAGTGAATTTAATATCTGGAACACAGAATATATGTAAAATGATACATGTCAAATGTTTGTACTTTACTCCTCTGACTGAGAGCAACTGCTGCTACTCTGAGTTTTACATGCCTATACTAGTCAAAGCACATAAACTCATTTTTCTTCTACCTTTCTGCACACAACGTAATTTTGTATTTCTTGTTGTCCAACACTGGTGTTCTTCTTTAGCAGTAATGTCAGACGCTCCAAGGTATTTGAAGTCATCTGCAAACTTGGAAATAAAAGGTTACCCGTTTTCACATAGTTTTCAACATAGTATTGTTATTTTGAAATCTTACAGCACATGTGACTCCATAAACATCTGATTGGTAGAAAACAGTTGCTTAGTGGGTTGCATACAAAGACCAGCTGCATTTTATTGTGTCATTATCCTGAGTGTGCGATGGAACATTAAGAGCCCAGAAAAACACTGAACGCACATATTTTGCAGAGAAACTGTTAAATTTGTAAAACACAAACAAAAAAAACCACTGTGTTGTTTCAAGACACATTTCCGTCTGTGTTCTATGCATTCTGAACCCTTGGGCATTTCCTTACAACGTCAGTTGTGACTCTACAAAATGTCCCTTTTGTGCTTGCCGAAAACTTGTTTGGTCTTCTGCTTCCACATACATACAGTGCCACTGCAGAAAAAAATAGACATTTACTCTAATATATATTTACATGTGACCTCACATTTGTTTGTTCTTTATACCAATGATGAATAGAATTTTAGAAGATTGAAATCAAAACCTAACGAACATGTGTTTGAACAACTTTAAACACGTGACAGTTTTCATCCGTCAAGTACAGCAGCCCCACAAATGTGTTGCGGGATGTTTTATTGTATCATGTATAGGTGGTTCTACTATTGTGTCACTTGCCACTCACGACTAAAACCAGTCATTCATTATGTAAAAAATGGCTCACATGGCCTGACTGGTTGTGATAGTAGAGGGGATAAAAGTGCTTGTTTTGCATCACATTGGATCATTCCAGAGTTCATGAACATGGACTTCCAATGACACCATAGAAGTAATCTATTGTGGAGGTGTCATGGAGAAAAAGAACAATAATTTGTTTGCACAGCCTTGCTACTGAGTCAGTGATTGATGCATACAAATTAGCATTTTATGCTCTCAAATGACTCAGTTAGTGTGCATGAATTAGCAGAGCATAGCATTAAACATTGGTCTTATTTGAACATTCTGTGCCAGGGATGTAAAACACAATACAATATTTATTAGAAAGAAGTATCTCTACCTAGCTGCATCTAAATTCAAAATAAAACTAAGCTGCTGTCCAGTTGAATCTGCTGATTACATTTCAGTTACTGAAACAGTAGGAGCTGAAGTTTTAGTTTTATGTACTCCATTCAGTTCCTGAGGAGCACGCTGAGGACTGATAGCAAGAGGATAACAGCTGTCATATTGAGCTGAATCCAAACTCTAAATTCATTCCTTCGTAATAACATTGGTTGCCACAGTTTTTACATTATTCCCATCAATACTTTTTTTTTTGGATAGATGCAATGCCACATTACATGTTTGAACTGCCATCAATTGGCTTGCACATACATCACTATGTAGGTTGATACAAGCAAGCAAGCCAGCTGTCAAAACAGTCAATATGATCTAAACGAGTCACTAAATGTGTTCATTTTAGAGATAGATGGATGCACAGCGTTTTAGCTGAACACAAGTGTGTCATCTCTGACATACTTCAATCAAAAAGAACAATTTAATTTAATAGCATGATGGTTTTATTTGTGCACACAGAATTTTATTTTATTGTTTTCTCCACAACACTGGCCAGGCCCCGTATTCAACAACTCAGGTCTCATTTCGCTATTGTCTTCTGAAGGTAAAAAATATTGATCATGAAGTATGTAGGTTATTAACAGTTACTGTGACATAAAACTATCTGCATGGCTAGTTACCAGTCAGGGCAACTGAAAGAAAATGTGGGGTTTTGGCCAGAAGGTGTCTTCTGCATCACCATGTTAAAGGTGGACCACAATGACTGGCTGAGTAATGTTTTCTATGAGATGGTTAATGAAAGTCTAACATCTGTGTTCCTCAAGTTTCTTTTTGGGTTCTTCATGAGCGAGCAGCTCCAAGCAGCTGTGTCTGTCACTCCACACCCCCCTGCCTCCTCCTGATCACCAATGTAACAGGTCCTTCAGGTAAAGCCTTGATCATGTTCCAGGCCTCAAATCGAGTCATGTCAGTCAGACTGACTCCCTGGACCTGCAGCAGCTCATCTCCATACTGAAGACCAATCTGCTCTGCTGCTCCGCCTGAAACACAGAAGTAACCCATTTGAGCTCATGGTATCTTTCATGATATGACAAATACTACTTTCCATTTTTCCCCAAGAGTAGGAAAATTTCTACTTTTTATATATAACATTTGAATTAAGTTGTTATAGGTTTTGTAAGTAAAATGGGATCTAGTAATCTCAGAGCCATGTTTGTACCTGTAAAGATCCTGTTGATGGTGAGAGGTCTGTCTCCATGGATTGAGCCTTTTCCCCCCTCCAACGTAAAGCCAACCCCCCCAGGACCTTTCACTAGCTCTACGTTCACTGGGACCCCCGGCTCCAGCACTGCAACAACAAAAATACAGGGTAAATGCAGGCAACATACTTATTTTTTCCTACGGAGACGAAGAATATGTGCAATTAAACCCATTTTAAAAATGTGAAACTTTTAAGATAAGATCAGCCTTTGTTTATCTCACAGTGGAGAAATTCACATTGTTGTCAGCAGCATTACACACAGAGATACACACCTACCAGACAGAAAAAAGGCCTATATGAAACAAGACTTACTTCCTGCATAACATAAAAGCCCTGTTTTACAAAAGCAGTAAAAAGACATGTGGAGGCTGTTCATGCTGCTCACCTGCAGGGCTCGGCTCTTCGCTCCTACAGCTTGCTGCCTCTCTTCCCTCCTCCTCAGCTCTCTTGCAGACGACCACCACAGCCAGCTTCAGGCCGCGGGCTTGACGCAGGGCAGCAGTGGCATCGGTGTGTGTGAACCCACGCAGTGTTTGTCCGTTTATAGACAACACCTCATCTCCTTTCTGGATGGTCCCCTCCTGAGCTGCCAGGCCACTGGGAAACACTCTGTGGACCTGGACAGAAGACACGCATTCAGACATTCAGAGACGATGTGCAGAGTGAATCATTCACAGACAGGGCCAAAGGTGATGTACAGTTTCAGAGTGTAGGTAGTGCTGTAAAGGCTGAAAATAGCATGTTTGTTTTTTTTTTTATGGTAAGACTAATATTCCTACGAGAGCTAGCTTGGTATTGGGTTGATGTTCTTTCTTATTGTAGAAAGAAAAGCTATTCTATTCTTTAGCAGATAGTGTGACACATTGTGGGCAAAAGCACTGACTAGAAAGCACAGTGTTAATCCAACACCTTGGTTCAGTCAGGTGTAGTCTCTCAGTCTTTACGTGATTAATTAAATGCCTCCATATTATTAGAAAGGACCTCATTATACAAGGTGTGTAAAGTCCCTCTCCACACACTTGGTCGTTGTTATCTCTCTTGAATGTTGCACTACACAGAATAGTGTAAAAGTTTGACACTAGAAGATAACTAGTAACTTTTTACTAAAAAAAGCAACATTTCTCTTAATGAACCCCAAATCTGATTTTAAATTATGGACCTAAAAGCAGCTTTTGGGACATCACAACCTGTATGGAAGCCAATCTTGGTTCAAAAAGCAACTTTCACAGGTGTGAAATGGAATCAGAAGTCTGCATAGTACAAACACTAAGCATGGACTTTCAGTGACGTACGAGACATTCTGTATCCAGAAGTGAAACATTTATGATCAGAAATTAATAAAATATGCAGATTCACAGATTATCCATGAGGGATGAGGTGTAGATGTCCATTTAAAGAAAATCAAGTTGTTTTCTATACACTGGAAGACACATCGTGAGTAAATAAGCAGTCAACACCATAGCTGAATGTTTCCACCAGTTGTGTACCAATGACAACACACAATCACACTTCTGATGTTTCATAACAAATCTACGGAGGAAATCCTGTTAACTTGCAGTGTGGCACTTTCATAACAGTTTCCAGTTTGATTTACTCTAATATTCTAAGTTTTCATTGTTTGTGTACTTTTACAGTGAGCAGAACTGTCGGTGAGCTGGTGTGTACGGGCTGCAGCGAGTGGAGGTGGGCCAAGTGTGTAGAGTTACATCAAAGCTATGCTAAAACAAAAATGAACTGACTATGCATTCATGATGTTCGCAGCTGTAGTCAAGGTTTGAATTTACTCTCAGTTTAACACAGTTTCAGTTTGCTAGTTCAGCTGACAGCATCTGACTTGTTGTTGACAGATACTTAAAGTCTATAACTCTGTACATTATGAGTTGTCATCTCAACGTCAACCATATACATTTATATTAAATGCTTACATTAACATTACCTTGTGTCAGACCTGCTCTCAGGACCGGATGTTTTCTTTTGTGTCAAATCACTGATGTTGTAACAGGCTTGTTTTGTTTTACAATAGACGCACTGTTCAGAGTTTGTGGGTTTTTTTTTCATCATGAAATGGTGCCAACTTTGTGAATTTCCTTTGGTTTTCTCTGTTGTGGGATCAACCAGCCATAACTGGTTTTAAAACACAGCAGGAGCACATATTCGTCTCTTTTCTGTCGCTCTGGAATTTCAAACTTTTACAATCCTCTGCTGCAGACAAGGTCCACTGTGACCAGAAGAGCAAAAGACACCAACATTCACCATGCCAAATGTGGAAGTGTAAAGAAGAACACCTTCCAGGTCTGTTTGATGTTTGTGTTCCCAGCAGGAAGCCACGAGCAGGTAGACCTCCAGAGGATTCTCCAGTGTGGACACTCAAATGTTCATTTGAACCACATCTCCAGTCACAGACCAAATGTCTCCCAGAAACATTCTGACCAGCTTTTAACTTTGCAGGAAGTGGTGGTCCAGATCTTGATTAACACATCAAAAGAATTTCACTCTGCCTAACAGTGTCACAACTCACACCAACATCACGTCAAGACAAAGGCAGACAGTTGATTCACTGTCTTGGACTCAGCTGTTCCATATGTTTACATATTTAGCTACTCAACATTCATGTCAACAACCTCTTCATATTCACTATTATTACCACAATCATACTTAATCATCTCACTAACTAAATGCAAAGATAGATTGTGTAACTACTCTGCATAAAAATCCATGAATCCATTAGATCATACATTTCCTCTATACCGATCTGTCTCTACTCTTGACCGGCCACCATTTTCATTTTTATTTTTCATTTAATTTCATTTCATTTTCTGTCTATTTCTCAATTTTTTCAATCTGTGCCAAACACGGTGAAGCTGTATGTAGCTAGAATGAACCCTCCATGCAAAAAAAAAAAGTGTACTGTATGCACACCAGTGTAAAACACCCTGAGATTCCCTCAAGAACTACATCACTTCTACAGCTTATTGTGTTTTTGATCAGTGATAGATTGATGTAAATATGTCATGTGTAGCATCCTAAAAAAAATGACTTTGTGGTAGTTAGACAAAGATGTTGTGTTGCTCTCATTCTGCCATCAGTTTGGAAATAATAGAGAACAGTTAAAATATATATGTTTCAGTTTGTACTGTGAATTTCTAAGGACATAGTTTCTGGGAAGAAGTGCTACTGATTTTATAATGAAAATCCATCATTGTTTCAGGTTGGAATCTCAGTGACAGATATAACACAGTTATATACACCAATAGGTCAAGATTAGAAGTTTGATTGGCAAACTTGGACATTTTCTCCAGTTAGAATCGTATGTCAGTCTGTCTAGACCCGATCAACTTGTGTGATCGATATGAATCTGTTCTATGTGCAGCTTACTGTAAGAGCTTTGCTCTCCAAGTCACTCCCTCCAGCGATGCTGAAGCCCAGCCCCGCTCCCTCCTCTTTATGGAGAATCACGACATGGATGTCCACCAGTTGCTGTGGAAAAAGACACAGAGTTAATACAGTAGTTAATTACCTCTGAAGGGATGGTTATTTTGAATATGGCTGCATATTCATTGAATTTAAAGCGACAAACTGGCAACAATTGTTGCCGAAGTGTATCACTGTCATTTTCTACTCAAAATAAAAAATGTCAAAGGAACTAAAGAAACTTTTTCCACTTATATGCTAGTAGACAACTTAGACAAAGGTTTTGGTTTAAAAAAAATAGTTTCCAAGTGCTTCCAGTCACATGACATCATTTGCTTCCTGCTCCTTCTGACTGAAGACATGGCGAATGCAAATCCTCCTGGAAAGAGGTAAATTTTTCATAACATTTTCAGAAATTTCTTATGATTTTCCTCCCAAACATATTTATAATTATTTAATCATTCAAGTCTCTAGAGTAACCCTCCCCCCAAAAAATGTACCTAGGATAAATATTTTTTGTTCTTGGGCTTGTTTCTGTGAGTGGCAACAAAAGTTTCCAGTGAGCACATAGCTTGTCGTTAACTATATGGGTTTTTGAGAATATGTAGGTAGAATATGTAGAATATGTAGGCTATCTATTTCATGTGCATTGCATTTCTGTGACATAGAAATGATTATTTTCTGTTCTGTTTCATTTGCAAAATCAGCAATAACTTATGATTTTATTTCCACCAACTTGTTCCCACGCTTGTTTGGCGGTTTTTCGATTGGCAGCGTGAATTCAATGTTTGAAACCTTTCGTTGTTGTGTTTTAACCTGTTGGAGATTGTTTTTATATCATACAGATTTGGTCTGAGATGTATATCTGATACAAATTGTTTGTTGTTTTGCACATCGAGTGCAGCACAGTGCAGAGATCTTTACACTGAGGCATCAGCATCCACAGAAGGATCTCACTGTGTTGTTAAATATATAGCAGATGTGGAGCACATGAATGCTCCCAGATGGTCGGATATTTTACTTGTAGCTGAGATTTTCATTTAATCAGGAGACATGTTTCATTCAGGATACTGTCTGTATCTCAAATGCAGACAACAGACTTGGAAAAAAAAGGAAATTTCTAATTACATAACTGCTTTTTGTCACCCAGTATGTAATGTGTTTTCCTCAAAGCACGTCTGCAGCATCCGATCAACTGTGTTGTTCTTGTTGTTTCTCTGATAATTTAATGTTCAAAAATTTATGTTTTAAGGCTTTCTGTTGTTCTGTGTCTGGTGAAATCATGTTTTTTCACGATGATCAAAATAGCTGCAGCCTTTTTGAAATAACATCCATGAGTTTAGAATATGTTTAGAAATATGTCGTGAATAAACTGCGTAACAGTTAATTAATTTCTTTTCACCTTCAGTGTCTCTTGGTCCAGGGCTTTGACTTCCTGGATCATCATCTGTATTTCCTGTGAAGGGATGGCTGAGATGACAGAGTGAGCATAAGAAGAAGAGGATGCTGCCTCCCCTTCCCCTCGCTCGATGGTACACTCCCTCAGTGTGGCCAAGCTGTGAAGAAGATGAAAAGACACCAGAGCGTGATGAGGTGTAATGTTAGTTCTAAGCGCTGTGCCTGCCTGCAGTGGATAATAATGTTGTATTTAACATCCACTTTGAGCTGATAAAATGGGAAGCATATTGTTTATCTACCTGATCTCGCTTCTGTGTGAATACAAAACAGGCACGGAAGGCCTTCTGTGGAATTGAGAGAATAAAATGCTACATCATGTGTTCCCACACCTCACTGTGGAAGTCCTACCTGACAGAGAATCCTTTGTCAGTGCCGTCTAGGCCCGACTCAGAATCTTGGGTGTTAGCAAAGTCTGATGCTGAGGCGTCTTGCGGGTTTGGGGAACGAGGGTTACCGTGGCAGGAGATGGGGAGAGAATGCATCAGTGCTTGTGAAACCTGTAACAAAAATAACCCATAAAAATAGAATCAGATACATTTAAAATGTGGTCTTTGTGCACCTTAAATACACAGAGTCTTTTTGTTATCATATTAACATTGTTCTCACTAAGTTCAGTTGCTGATACATGTGAAAACCTAACTAATGACTCAAGAAGCACAAGCAGTCAAATGATTAGCCAAGCAGGAAACAAGCCCCCAGATTAGTAAAACGTTCTGCAGTCATATAGTGCATGGATGACCTCATAAATGAAAGTGCTAGGATGGAAATATATTAAAAAATGCTAAAGAAATCTAGTATCTGTGCTGTTTTCATTTTGGGTTGTTTTTTTTAATCTCTGATTGTAACTGGTTGGGTTGTACATGTGAGTCTAAGCAACAGCACTGACAACTTCATCCTAAATTATGGACTAAACTTCTATCAGAATTTTGATGCAGCTCTAGTGCACTAAAAATCAATCGATATCAATCAATCACAGTGAGATCTGCGTTGAAGAAGCAGTGAAACAGGTTTTTGGTAGCAAGTAACTGATCCAGACAAAAGTGTTTTCATGAGGTCTGATCAGGAGGGACACAAACTTACAACAGTTTCTGCGTGTACACAGCATGATCAAGAAGTCAACGTTTGACTGTGGTGTGTGTTGCTGAGCACACAGCTAGCAGGTACACACTGGCCTTTATATACCATCTGGTTATGGTATAGTTTCTACTTTTTAATGCAACAGAAATTCAAACTACAAAAAAAAATGTGCATTATCAGAAAAGCAAATTACCTCGATCATAATCATGTGTTTCAGTCAGAAAAAATCTAGAGTTTAATTAAAGGTGAAATAATGTCATGATAAAGTTATCAAAAGAAGATTCATCTGAGACAGCTCTATATATATCTATATCACACAGCATATAAAGACCTGTACTGTTTTGTGTGCACACACAGTTCTCCTTTATAGAGGATTATTACAGATAGTTGTGTGATTTTTTTTTCCACTTTTACCACAAAACAAGGAAAATAGAAAAACTGTAAATTTACAACCTTTCTGCTTGTTCAACTGCTTGTCTAGAGCTTGTCATAGCATTGTTCTAATGTTCCCAGATCCCAGTTTGTACCTGAACACTGTTAAAACTGATCAAATGGAAGGTAAAGCTATGGAACTAAACCCAATTTTCCTAAATCAAGTATTAAGTAATTTAACCAGCTCTTTGGAGTCACGAGTCTCAACAATTTCAAAGCACTGAACCAAAGTTTTTTCTTTTTAACGTTACTATATCAAGTACATTTCCCTTTAACAATAAAGCTGTAGATTACCTGGTTACTGAAGGCAATGATTTTCCCTAAGCTTTCTTCCTCTGGGCCTTTCAGAGGGCTGCTCTCTGTGGGTGGAGCAGCGCTCTGAGCTGTCCTCAGCAGATCTCCGTGGCTCTGTCTTCTGTCCACGTCTGTCCCGTCTGAAGCATTTTCCTCTTCTGTTTGATTAACTCTCATCGATGTTTCAGTGGGTTGAACACTGGACTCTGTCAACCTGTTGAGATCCACTTTTTCTTGCTCAGACTCCAGTTTGGATGATAAGACCTCACTGTCATCATGGACTGAAGCTGCATGAGAATCATTTATCCCTGAGTCTGGATCAGTGCTGATGTTATCAGAAGGTGGAATATCAGTGGGAGACTGGATGGAGGGAGATCCATTTTCAGAGGGCTTAGCTGTTTGACAAGAAGCTTCGTAAGTGTCTGAGGTTATAGCAGAGACTGTATTAGAGACAGCCACATTGTCTACCTCCCTAACAGATGCCGACTGAGTCTCTTTAGGGAGCTCATGTTTGCTCTTCTCAGAACCTCCATGTGTAGCAGGGTAGGGAGGACAGGGACTTCTGGACTCCTTCTCCACTAGTGGAAGGGAGCTGGAAGGGGCCACAGGCCTCCTACTGCCCCCCTTCTCTGGGCTCTCTGAGCCGGAAAAAGTCTCAAAGGAGTGAATCTTTTGTTTGATTGACAGGTTTGCTGCAGAAGAGGCAGATCTGGCACCAAAATTTCTGCTGAAACCAGCAGCAGGCCTCGGCTCTGAGGGTCGAGCATGATTCTTCTGATCTTGCTCATCTCGAAATTTCCTCAGACTCTGACGAAACCAGGCAGGCTTGGGTGCCACTGGGGGCCCCTTCTTTGATCCTGATTCAGATGTGTTTTCAGGAGTTGTGTCTGATGGCGAGTCTAAAGTCAAGTCTGTAGCTGTGCCAGTAACCTCAAGATTGTACTCTTCGTTGCTCATGGTAGCAGGGACGCTGTGGATGTTGTCAGGTTGTATGCTGTGTGTAGCGTGTTGCTGGTGATGCTGATGGAGGTCAGGCAGCTCTTCAGTGGAGCTGTTTGAAAGGCGAACCCAAGGATCCTGAAGCTGTTCTTGGGTATGTTGTTGAATACAAGCTTGTCTCTTCAGGGCTCCTCTCTTTGGCTTTGAGCAGAGCACAGCTGATAAATCACCTACACAGCAAAAAAAATAACCAAAAAGAAAGAAAAAAAAGTTTGTTTTTCAGTGTTAGTAAGTTGGACATTAAAATATACAGTCATTTCATCTCTTGTCTTGTCAAACTGAACTACAAAACTGGTTATTAGTTAAAAACAGTTGCTGCTGATATGGGGAGTTAAATGTCATATTCTGCAAACAGCCCTACAGTTCAGATTTCACACGACAGCCGGTGTTCTCCCAGATGTCTAATGCATCTGTGTTTGCAGAGAAGAACTACAGCGCCTTCAGTGCCATGTTACAGTATAGTGTGACCTGTGCTATTAAAGACTGGTTCCATTATTGGGACCTTTTATTAGCATGTTTATATTTTGTGCTTGTTCAAAATACAATTTTGACTGAATTACAAACTTCACTGTATCTGTGCCTTTTTTTTCCTCCTCTTTTTTTACAGTATTTCTCTGTGTGTGGAGTGGCATTAGTGGTTATAAATTGATTATACTAAGTGCTCTATTTAGATTAAATTGTATACCCTCTATTAATAAGTATCAACAAGACAGAAACTCTATTTAGTGCTAGAACCATACACTGGTGGGGTCAATGTTTAACACCACACACTCCTGATTCGTGAACTCAACTGTTGTGGGATATTAAACTGAGCAAATACCAAAAACTGGAAAATATGATATTTCAGTGATGATCAGGTTAGACTATTGTACAAGATGGATCATTCCTGTGCAAACCTGCATCCTCACAACCCCAAAAAAACCTTGTAAAATACAGCAACTAGGATAGAAAAGATTGTCTGATGCTGTAGCCTGTAAGTTCATGTGTGTGGCCTGTGTGTGTGTGTGTTTGTCTGAATCTTGACTCTGCAAGTTTGTGTGTGAGGCTTGTATGTGTGCTAATGGGTTATAGTGACCTGGTCAAATGTAAACCGCAGCTGAATTTGAAGATGAACGGTAGATGTCTGAAGCATAGAGAGAGTGCGATAGTGGTTTATGAGTAGCTTAAAATACATCACAAAGAAACTGTTGCTTTAACCAATGATCATGCGTATGATCATGTCAACACTTTCACGTCCTCTGATTGGATGGACAGAGAGCTCAGCCAAAGCTAGCAGTTAATATCTGTAGCGACCTGCACAAGGTAAAACTTTATCGTAAAAGTATCAAGATTTTTTATTTTTTTTAACTTAAGTAAGCGGACATTCTCAGCCCTAAAGCGAATTAAAACTTATGGCAGAAACACGACTGGACAGACCTGACTTTCAGCATTAGCCTCCATGGCGATAAAACAGGACTTATTGTTGAAACTGAAACACACGGACTGTCTGCTCAACAGCAGCTGTGGCTGCAGTGAAAGGAGACTTGTTGAATTGTTTTAACTGGGTTTCTTGCTTTAGTGATGACGTTCATTCTAGCTACATGAGATACTTGTCTGCAATGCAACGTCCAGTTATATCGCCTTTCTGTATAATATTGATGGTTTCTATAGCCGTGGCGTCATAATGATCGAATTAAGAGGTGGTTTGATTCAGGTAGGACGCCACTGAAGGCCTAGGAGTACAATGTACAGCCCGCCACTGCGTACGAGTGAGGAGACGAGGGATGCTCTCTCTAGTTCGAGCAGTAGATGGCGTGGATGCAGGTGCAAGTCGACAGATAGTATTTTTATTTTTTTAAAGTAGGTAGTTGAAAATTTGCCACAATTAGATCATACACCTTCAGATGTGACTAAATTGAAACATAATGGTGCCATGCCTTGATTGGTCTTTTAAAAATGAAAGGGTTGTGGTTTTACAGGAGAAGGAGGAGAGTTGGAGAAGTTGCAATGCATGGTTTGAACAGTTAAATCTCGAGATTTGTTCATGTCTATTCATGCAACCTCTGTATTGAATAAACATTATCTACATCAGACTCTGAAACCCGTTAGAAGACTATTTTTTGAGAACTTCTGAAGACACCAATAGTTGGTCCAGAAGACATTTTTTTGACCAAGTGTTGTGGACAAAGCTACATGACCATCGCTGGCCACTGTCAGCTGACTGAGACACCACACATCGACCTGTGTTGTCAAGTGTTTAATTCCTCTTGAGAAAGTCGCTGCAACTCTGTCATTGTGTAACGTATTTAACACTTTCAAATGTGTAGTTGAAAATCTATGTAGAGTGGACCAATGTAACGCTTTTAAAGTGTTGAATTTAACTTTTTTGCTGTTAAACTGTCAATTTTGCTGTATACTACTCTGAAACATGTAATGGGAAATAGTCTGCATTTACCTAATGTCCTTTAAACTTTGCTAGATTGTACAAAGCAGTTTACAGTGTGTTTCTCATTCACACATGCACACACCCAAACCGATGGTGGCACAACTGCCATGCAGGGTGCTTGCCTACCATCAGGAAACTGAACCACTAAACTTGTGATGAGTGAACAACCTGCTCCACCACCTGAGCCTTGGCTGCCTGCTGCAACCAACTGGCCATGCAGGATCATTTCAAGTGAAGTAAATGATGCTATACTAATAACCTATAAGGTAAAATATACTATTTGTGCTGCTGCTCAGTGATCACTGACAGCTTTGGTGTGACTACACCCAGTGAGTTGTAGCTTAGCTGCAGTTCCTGTTAAGCACCACTATAGGCCTCAACCAGGAAACAGAGTCTCAGTGACTTTTCAGTGAAATACTGATAACCACAGCACCAGATTTATTTTGCTGTCACATTGCTCAAACAACTGCATGATTAGAAGGATCTGAAGCTGTACTCAGGTGTTTAAAATTAACTGAACAGCATTTGTCTCCTACCTGTGTGTAGCTGGTTGTTGGTGCACACTGCAGCGTCTTGATGAGGAAAGTCTTCTTCACTGCTTTCTGACTGTTCTCTTGTGCGTTCTCCTTCCTGCTACACAAACAGGAAGTGTTGTATCACAATAACTTCTCTCGCAGCAACCACAGAGAGGTGCAATAATGTAGCCTGCTTCCGCTCAGACACTCCTCCTCATCACTGTTCCTTCATTCTGTTAGTACCATAGTCGAACCAGTAAGAGACACATATTATCGCACAACATGCACTGGTTGCATGTGGACATGCACAAAACACACACACACACACACACACACACACACACACACACACACACATAGATAGACGTGAGAAAGCAAAAATATGATGCATAATAAGCAGGATTGGATTCATTCATTTGAACAGCTTCAAGCCCATGTACACACTAGCAGAAGCATGCATACCTACTGTATGCTACAGTGCATGGCGAAAAGTATGTGTACTTCAGAACATTCCACTCCAGCCCAGTGTACTGAAAATTACATTCATATTAGATGATTCTGCCGTATACAAATGTTCAGTGCATAGGAGGATGATGTGTGCCTATTATGTAATGAGGTGGAAAGTAAGAAGACCAGCATTTGTCTGTAGTTGTTTTGTTTCTTTTTTAAAAAATAGGCCACATATATTTGTCATGCACAGAGAGGACAAATATAAAAACCATGGCACTGAATGATAAAACACATTCAGTGGTTTTGCAGCACTGTCCATTTAAATGTGTAGGGATAGGGTTGTACAGCCATGTGTAACTCATAAATATTTCATTACAAAACCGTGTGCACTATCCTGCTGCTATAACAGACAAACTGCACAGCCTGTGGACAGTGGTGTCTTCATACTTTTGGCCATAGAGTGTAGATACAAGTAGAGCAGAGCAGAGGAAGAACAGAGACACATGCATGCAGCAGTCTGCTTAGTTTGGTTAAAAATTTACAAAGTGCTTGCAATGTTATGTTTTGTGTTTAGGTTGGTTCTGCTTTTTCCTTGCTCTTCTTCTTCTCAGTCTGTTTGTTCTCATCATTCCCTTGCAGTGTGGGACTGAGGGCTGGTTAAATGCACCTCTCATTCAGTCCTCCATACATCTCTGGCTTCTCCTGCTCTACTTTGACAGATTATTCTGTGACTGTGGTGCATCCACAGTGACCTTCAGTTAAGCTGTGCAGTGCTTCTTCTTTGCAATTTTACTGATATCTTGTGTTTTCCTGTGTAGATCCTCCTGCCAGCTGCTGATTCCACTCACCTGTGCTCCAGCCTTCTTCATGTTTATCCAGCTCACCTCCCTGAGACTCACCACGCCTCTGTCAGCCCTCAGCCACCTCTGCTCCCCTTTCAAGACTGTTCACTTAGAAATAAATCCACTTTTTCTACCCTAACCATCCGTATTCTGCTTCTGGGTCCAAAACCAACCTTCACACGACATGTGAGGTGCAATGAATGACTTCATTAATGTTAATAAATGACTATTGATTTTTACATTAGCTATAAGCCACATGTGAGAACAACTTCTCGATTGCACTCTGGAGTCCATTATGTCTCCAGCAGTAAATGTCAATAAGCTGACTGGATTTTAACTCAACAATAAAGCATATTTTCTCAATAAACCCAATAAAGGGTTAAAAAAAAAAAAAAACTACTGCCAAAAATACATATAGAAAAGTAGAGCAATCAAACGCTTTACTCTCAAATGATAGTGGCATCTTTATGTTTTCTTAAAAGATAAAAAGCTAAAGCATACAGCATGCTCTCAAAACAGTGAAAGTTCTCTTCACATACATTTCTTAAGAGTAACCTCAGGATCTTTTGCAAGGCCTTGTATATGCTGCTGAAGAGCTGCAGGCAGTGGGAGGAGTGGAGTGTGTTATATTTTTTTGGGGCTTTTCAGAAGAAGAATGATTAATACATGAAGGCGTCAGGGAAGACATGGTTAGTACAAGCAGGATCACTCAATAAAAAAGGGAGAGCTTAAGGAAAGCAACAATAGCCCTGACTTGTTTCAGCAAAGGAACTCAGAGTGGAAGTGAAAAAGAGAGTGACGCAGATAGAGTTGGCAGCTTCTTCTGTCTTCTACCTTCTAAAGTTTCAGCTTCCTTATATGGGCCCTAAAAGCCTTATACAGCATATAAACAGCTCAACTGTCACAGTGGGCGGGAAATACGATCAA